TTGGTTGATATCATCAATCAGAGCATGTAATAAAACCCTACGTTTTTATCGTGCGAAAATGAAAATTACAAATCCCTAGACGCGACGTAGACACGAACGAAATTGTTCTGTGCGACTTTCTCACATTCAAATCGTTGTTGTGTTTATGGGGGCGTCGGTACACTTGAATCTATACGTCTCAGGGGAATGCACTTGCGCGGGGCTAAATGAAAAATAATTGCGTGGGAGCACAGACTACGACAACACTCATGCTCTAATGGATAGTAATGTTATTTTACAAATAAAAGTTTCACATTAAATTGGCACATCACGGCAATACTTTTCTGTTCAAAAGTTATTTAGGCAGAGATGTGCTATTTTAACAATAGCTAAAAAAAAATGCAAAATATATAAACGCTCAGTTTAAATAGCTATTACTTTTTCATAGAAAACAATCGCAAAGTCGATGATAATGTAATTGCTCCTTCATCATCGTAACGTCTACGCCCGTCCTCTACGCGTAGTCGTAGGGCACTACGAAGTCTCGCCACTTTTTAATCAATTTAAGTGCTTGCTACGATTTGTGCTATTTCTTAATGGCACATATCTAAAGAATGAGATTTCTTTTTAAATTTATAGTATTTTAGTGCATAAATTATTATTGCTAACAACGACTTTCACAACATCTCACACCAATATAAATAATTTGTGGTATCAGTAAATAAAATCCAACAATGCCGATCCTCCAATTATACAAACAATTTCTAAGATTATCTCGAATTACTCGAATTTGAAATACTGAAACATTTTAAACTTTATTAGTTTTATTAAGAAAATGAGAATGAAGAGTAACTTTAAATAAATTTTACTTGACTAAATATTGGAAGTTATCAAATCAACTGATAGTAACTTGATAGTCATGTTAGGAGTGTGAGAAAATACAAACGATGTTAATCGATTGAACACGGAATATTATCGTTTGATCTTCGGACAGTAGGTACTGGTACGTCCCGTGGGAGTCGCGGGACACGGTGCGAGCGCTCAATCGAGCGTCGTCCTGCCACCTCCCTTGTACACTCTGACTCTGGTACTAAATCTATTCGCGCCATATCAAATGTCACGCCCTTCACTCCGATTAGTCGTGCAGATTAAACGTTGACGTGAGAATTGTCTCTGATAAGTTTATATAACTCTGTAATAGGACACTGGTCTTTCTAATACAAAAATAAACCAAATATGTAGATGTAGAGTACAATACATTTAGTATTATGTAAAGGACTCGGCTACATTGATCATTTAAAGATCCATATCTTATTTAGAATTAAGTAAGTTATGGATATTGATAAAATTATGAAAGTACAATCGTAAAGAAAACAGTTATCCCGAAAATATAAAGATTCAAATGACATCACGAAATGAGGAAGGTAAATCAATGTCACTAATAATCACAAAGTCACAATGCTAAACAAACAACTTATAAAATTACAAGATAAATAAGAACAATAAAATAACAAAAGCAAACGTTATCCCCAAATGGAGTTCAAGCAGCAGATAATTGTGGCAAGTGCGATCAAACGTGCGCGCTGGCGGGAGCGTGTGCGCCACGCGCCGCCACGCGGCATGCACCTGCGCTTCAATGTACCATGAGGGGATACTAGGGAAAATGTATCTTCGTGTAAATTCGTCAGAATATATGAAATTATCTGGCTTTTGTAAGAATCTTGTATACAAAGAGAAGAGATCTAATTGTTTGTTTAGTTGAAACTCAAAAGATTTCAATAATTCCTTTTCCAAAAATATCTTAGCGAGTAGCAGTAAGAAGATTTATATATTACTAAAATCTAAAAAACAGGGGAAAAAATATGATAATATCGTGAATATCTTTAATTTATCTTTAAGGTTTAAATAAGTTTTTGTTAACACTAACGTATTTTTTATTTGTATCCACGGGTTTTTTTTTTTATTTTCAATTCACATGTGAAAACAAATTGCTATACTAAACGTCTAGGCTTAATATTACACAATGATGTAACATTGTAACATATGTAGCTAACAATGATTGCTAGATAACTGACGTTTCCCTAGTGGTTGGTAGACTGAAGATCTTAGATCAGAATTGGATTGTATTTTACGGATGCATCCCCGGTGACCGTTTTGTCAATCTTAATTTTATGATTACTGCAACGTATACAAGATATGTACTATATTACCTACCATATATGTATATCACATTTTATTATAGAGGAGTTGATATGAAAAATATCGAGATATTTGCCTAAATAAGTCATCGAAACTTTTATAATTGTTACCCGATCCAACAAATCAAAACGAACCTACAAGCATGATAAACAAACTAGCTAGTGCTAGTGAAAAAAAACTTATTAAGTAGCCTATAAGTTTTTCCAGATTATGCTCTACATCTATCCCAAATTTTAGAGAGATCCGTTCAGCCGTTCTGAAGATACTTTCAAACAAACATCCATCCATCTAAACATTCCCATTTATATTATTAGTAACATTAATTTCTTTATCGATTATCTAGGACTATAGTTACAGTACAGACTATTCTAATTTCTTAATTAATCGGACAAAGTATAAGTCGTTTCTACATGAAAGACAATAACATTTCTTTTTATTGCTCTCTAATCTCTTCCGGCAGTCTGGTATAACAATAAAACCAAAATCGTGTGCGATTATATAGAATTTATTGAGTCGGACGGCGGCGCGCGTGGCTTGATGGATTAAATTGCCTTGTCCCTATGACAACGTGGCCACGGAAAAAATACGCTCTGTACAAAACAGCTGGTCATTTTTCAAGTGATTCCTTTTGCTCTACTATGCAGGTGGTCACTGTGAGCAGGGTGAGAAAATTGTTCATTTTCCACTCCTGTTCAGTTGTTCCATTTTTGTAACAGTTATTGGAGTATTTTCATTTTGATGTAGTGGAACATTGTACGACTATTTTAAAATGTGCTGCATCACATAAGAAACTATGTCTTATTCCATATTCTTGGAAGTGTTTTTAAAATAAAAGTAACATAAGGTTTTTTAATTTTTTAGGATCAATTATTGCAAATAGTTTTAAAATGCAAATACTATGCAAGTACTAATAAAAGGGCTATAAAGTTCTCATATAATTATCTATGGGTTCATTAAACAACGTTGAAAAACCATCGCATTTATTATAGTGTCTTATTTCTTTCTCTCTACGAAGCGTTTCACTATAAAATTATGATATAAATATACACAAGATAATTTAATATTTTGCAATTAAGTTAAGTATTGGGTGAGAAAATGTGTTGTAATAATTTACATTCACGCAAAATGTTTCCCTAATAAAATATGCATTAATATTGAAAGCTAAAACACCACACGCAATATTCTGACTTCACAATTAAAAAACAACAAAATAAATACAACATTTACCGCGGGCTTTTGCCCAATTTTAATTGTAATATGTGAATTCGCATTTTGCAGGCGAGTTTTAATTATCGTAGTCGCGCGCGCCTGAGTTACGCGACCGCCCCTGATATTTATGGCGGCCTGGCTTCCGATACTTTTTAATGTAATGAGCACTCGTTGCCGCTCGCTTTCGAGGCTTTTGTGTACCATTTTATATACATTTACTGTGAATTTCCACTGCCAATATATTTATACAGGAACATATCGTTATCTCCGTATTTTGTATGACAATGAAAGAGATGACAACATATTTTTGCTCTCGTGTTTTACTATGGAAACCTAAGGTTGCATTGTACTTAATCTTATATTATCGTATTTAGTAAATTTCCCTATTCTTTTTATCCACTTTTAAGAAATGTGAACAAAGATTTTCTTGTTTGTCAAATATAATACATGAATAATATAAAAATTATTGCTCATTCATAAAGTTTTTCGTTGTAAAGCAATCAAATGTCATCGTAAATAAACTAACTTCAAACACTATTTATGTTTTTTTAGTAACAAGTTTTCTTGTTGTTTGTCAGTAAATTATTAAACCTCTGGCTATAAATTCTTTTAAACAACACAAGGGAAATACCAATTACACAAATTAAACTTACATTCATTCTTGAACATAGAAATATAAAATCATGATATGCTACGTTTCGATTTTAATAATTCAAAAGTCGCGACAAAGTTTGTTGATGCGAATTGGGAATTCGGTGTAACTGCGGCTCTCATCTTCGAGAATATTAAATTAGTGACATCGAGTGACGTCGAGTCACTTGCGAGTTATACGTGATCGGTTGCTGGTCCCTGGTACTCCGCCCCAGTACCATTAAACATTCACAAGCACACATCGCGTCGGCTCACATAAAAATGAGCACCTATTATGAAATTAACCAACCTAACTGTTACCTCTGTTTCGGATCTGCACGTCAACCACCTCCGAATTATAAGACATTAATTGGACTAGAAATATTCGGTATGAATGGTTGCAATATACTTTTCCAGGACAACAAAGAATTATACAGTTTTACCGGTAAATAAAATATTGTTACGCAATGTTTTAAGTTAATACAACAAACCGACATGAGTGCAACTACGAAGCTATGAACTAAATTTTAAACGTATAACGGCAATATTACTCTTTGTGAACCATAAACCCCTATTTTGCTAATGTACTTGCAAAATTAGCGGATTATATTAAACTTAATATTTTTTTTAGTATAAAGTGGCAAACGAGCAGCCGACCAGCTGAATTCGCCGAAATAGCTAGGTGATACCTGCCCATAGACATCGGCAATTACAGATGTGTTGCCTACTTGCAATCAATGAAGGGGGAGACGCAAAGATAGAGGATATTTCCCTTTCCTATGCGTCCTCCTCCATCAAATACACCTCCCCTTGCCATCCTTTCCTTGTAAGAAAAGAGTTGGGAATACAAACGGGGCTAGAAGTCTCCAGTACGCACACTCATGTGACGCCCGTCTTCTGTGTGATCTTGATATATCACCGAACTAGCGCGCCCATTCGTGCAACAGAAATGTCATTGGAAACAATAGTAACTTCAAACATACCTGTACTCTCGCTTCAGTGAGATCAATCTTCATGGCGATTTCTTCCCGCGTGTAGATGTCTGGGTAGTGGGTCTCCTGGAAAGCTCGCTCGAGCTCCTTGAGCTGCGCGGACGTGAACGTGGTACGGATACGACGCTGCTTGCGCTTCTCTGTCAGTGAACCCTCGTTGCCGCCGTACATCTTGTATGGAAGGCCAGCTGGAATACATTGCTTATGTCATAATGCAGTAAATAAAGATATTTACACATGTAAATATCAAATGGAAAGACAAATATAAATTGCGGAATGGATTTTTGTAGGGGCAGTAGAATTAGAAGTCAGTTTAATTTTAAGGTTACTTGACGAATACAGAATCGTTGTATCTTTGGACAGTTGTGTTACATTTTTAATCAATTCATCGTTTTGTTCAATTTCCATAAACTTAAGATAAACAACATTATTTTTTAACTTTTATAAGTTAACTTTTTTGAAGAAAAAAAGAGCGATTGCGCTGTATTATTTGTATGGTTGCACTGCATATTAAGCCAAACTATAACATTATAAAATTAATTTGTTCTAAGTAACCTATGTTATCTTTAGTAGTAAATAAGTTGATATTGAGTAAAAAGCACAGAGCAGGAAATTGTGAATGAAGTAAGGTCGTGCGGGCGGCCATTTTTGTCTCCCCCGTAGCCGTGTAGCGTGACGCACCCTCGCTATATACAGTGTACCAACAGCCTGCAATGAAATATATTTTATACCTACGCCTCTTTTGTTTATCTTCATAAGTAAACAAAGCCGTTTTAATTAGCAGTGGTACGTTAAACATTTTTTTATGTTTTCATGTTTTAAATTTACACGTGCTAAATGATTTTATTGTGGGGTACAAAATTAATCATGTATTTACCTATTTTATATTCAAATACATACTTTCAAACAAATTTCATAAATCAGAGAAACTTATACGTTTGAAAAAAAATATTTAAGTCAGTACTGTTATGTAAGTAATGCCTAATTAAATGTTTTTATTAAAAATCAATTACATACATCAGCGTTTACACTTTATGGCAAATAATTTATTACCCAAATAAAACTAGAACGAAAACTCTTTAGTAAAAGGAATATAATTCCGTGAATAAAGATAAAACAAAATACGGTAGAAAAACCGTAGCGGTGGAATGTGGCGTAGAGTAAGTATCGATCGTAGCAGTGAGCTACGCCTTGCAAGTAACTAAGTCTACGTAGAAAAATGTCCTCTTTCCGTTTCACTCATTACGGGCTCTGCGTTAGAAAAATCCATAAGAAAAGCATCTCAAATAGTGCCTTTCAATCTGTGGAGTAATACAAAGATTGTATTGCAATTGTCACTAATCGTATTTATCAATAAAGTATGTTACCATAAGTGTTTAGTAAAAAAGCAAAAATAATGTCTTAAAATAACAACAAGTGGCAAATATTGCGTATCTGTAAATATTATATACAATTATTTCTTAAGGAGCCTTACATAAAAGCAGTGATATCACACCAGGAAATAATGACATGTCCGAAACACAAACGGACAATACTGGTGTTTCATTAGGGCCATAAGTGAGGGCCATTTAGCGAGCTTTAGAGGCATTAGACGTGCGACCGCGCGGCCCGCTCCGGACCGCAGACCGCACTCGCAGCGACAATTACCTCAAATGAACCGGAATTAAGCGAGACTCGCTTCTTGGCCACGCTGCGGTCTCATTTGCATTATTAATAGACGGGAGAGACACAGGATGGGGCCTGTGGGGAGGCAAGGGACGTGTCACTGCCCCGCCCTCCCCGCGTCTCACACCCGTTCCCCGCACCCCCCTCGCCTCCGTGCAATTTGCGGGACCTAATGAAGAGGATCTTGGCAAGATGTTTCCGTTCTTATGATGTTTAATTCGAGTTTGCAATTCGTGGGTCAGGCGGACAACGTACTCATTGTTATTACGGCGGTATAATTTTATTGTACCCTCAACTTAAGGTTATGTAACGAGGAAAGTTAGAAAGAGCTTTCTATTACAACAGTACTGAATTGTTTGTACTCCTAAGTATTATACTCTAATTCTGAAAACTTAGACCTGTGAAATTTTCTTTTAACGTCTAATTTTCAGTTTTTGATTTAAAATTTAAAATAATTCTAATTACACATCCTTGTTTTAGTTGTAAATAAAAATGTAATTAAATCATGTTACAAAACAAATATTCCAATCTAAACCTCAAATCTTTAGAAACGTGATATGTAGTCGATTTAGATGTCGTCACAGCGATAAACGGTGTATATGTAAGCCGCGTGTTGGTAAATAAGGCTGTGGCGCGAGCGACGGCGGCACGTGGCGTTAATGAATCGTCAGAGGCCGATTAATTCGCAGGTGATATGATCCGTGCCCTCGCGCCCGCACCCCGCGCAACGCACCCCGCACTCGAGCTTCCTTCGCCTCACAGACTTTAATTACTGAGAAGCGACTATACAGGATGAAGTTATATCCAAAATTGTGTTTGTAATTTTAAATAATTGATGCTTTACACTTGGATTTGTTTAAGGAATAACTAATAAGGTGGTCTACTCTACTAAAGCAAAGATAAATGTTGCATTGAAATGATAATTTGCTTCTAATATTGTACAAGACGTTATACCATTTAACTCCATAATTAATCAAAACAACTCTAAAAATGATACACTAGAATCTATGAGAAATGCTTTCGGATTTGGTTGTAGCAGAAAATCGTAGTAAATCATTTTGCCATCCGTCCGGGTTGGATGGGCCTCGGTTCATTTTTCTCGCGTCACGAGAAAACTTCCCCGGCATCCATAATGCAAACGTTGTCGGCGCGTCATCGCCATATTGCGTAGCTCCGCACCAGGCAAGGGTTACGCGTAGATTAATGGACCGACGTTACGCGTACATTGCCTCACTTCAGTGTTCATACAAGGCCTCTTAAATCCCTTTCGAAATCTGGTAGATGCTATAACGAATATGAGCTACGTCTCGGTGTACCACCAATGTTATTAGCATTTTAATCAACTTGTAGAATATGAAGTGAGTTATGCAACATTTTTTTGTTCATAATCCTCCAGCGTAAATTTCAACACAATTACTTGGGAACAAGTCTTAAACCGACTGATTTTTGAAAAGTGTTTGTTTTCATTGAAACAAGAACTAGGATGTTTTTGCATAAGGTAACCTAACCTTGGAGCTATTTAACTCAAAGGTTTGGTTACCTTCGTATTCAAATTTCATCGTCAATAAACACTCAGGACTCAATGTTTTTTACAGTTGAATTAATTTTGCTACTATAACTACACTTTATAACCGTGCTGATAGTATGTAACATTATTTAATATGATAATCCGCAAAAGGTAATGTAAAAGCACCTTTATTTTATCCGCAATAAAATTGTTATAGTCGGCATACCATTACGCACAGTGTGTTCGAGCGCACGGCAGATATAAAAAGCGTTATAAGCGTAGTGCACATTGCCAATATATTTTATATTTGCAAATAAACATGTGGGTAAATTTACGTAATGGCGGCCGTAAAACACGAGCATTCGAATGCTGGAGTCAAATGTACCAACGGCGAGCGCTACGTACTCATAAAAGTAAGGGTAATGGAATTACACCGGTTATTGTCACTTGCATTAAATTTGATTTTATTTAACATAGAGATATGTACTGTAACCCAAGTACACTCTAAACTAGCTACAATAATATATAATAGCAGACTCAGGAACAAATACAATTGTTACGTAACGAATCAAGTCAACTGAAAATTAACCACCATTTTACAAAAACTCATTACCTTCAAATAGTTTGGAGTAAGTGTTTTATTTGACTATTATTTCATTTTTGCTATGGATCCTTTTATCCATCTCTTATCTAAAGATTTAATTTAATTTGATAAAATGTGTTCAACGCTTTCTCTACTTGTGCGGTTAAAGTGCGATAACATCCAATAATAAGATAAGATTATCGAACTATGAAACATAAAATAAAAGAACAAACAAGTAAAAAATTCAACACATTTCAGCCAGACACGAAAACCTTTTTGTAGGTATTTTGAAAAGAAAAAATGAATAAGCGTAGATTCGAGGAGAGATGTGTAGTTGTAACATTGTAGAAGTTACGATGGCTCACGGCGCTGTTCGACTGTAAGATATTACCTTTTTTATGGCCCACTTCACCATACTACACTTTACTGGGACAGAATAGATCACATGATGCGATAAAATATTGCCCTTCGGTCCTCGCAACAAATCGAATTAACCCGTCCACCAGCATGCGAACGCGACATGAGAATAGAAATGTGGATATTGGTTTAGGATTCACAAACTATTTGTGTTTTCCCGCTCCGTTACGCGTCATGTACAAAATCATATGAATTGTATATGAAAGTATATTGGGGTAAGATTTGTAGAATATAAAAATTCCTGGTATATATAAAATGATTTTATATTTTCTTTCCTTCAACTCAATAGCAAGAAGTTTAAAAAAAAGAAGCTTAAAAGTTAAATTGATTTATGATGAACTTTTCCTGAAAAGATAAGCTTTAGTTCAATCTTTTGATTTACTAGTCATAAAGTTTCACATTTTTTCAATTTATTTTACACTAACGTGCCGTCCGCGCGGAATTAAAGAAAAGCTTAATTACTAGCCTATGTGTTTTTCCAGACTTTGCTCTAAATTTATGTCAAATTAAGCGACATCCATGAAGCTGTTCTGAAGATACCTTCTAACAAACATTCATCCATTCCTCCATCCATCCATACATGTAAAGAGTCGGATTTATTATATTACTAAGATAGTTAAAACGTATAGTTTTCTGTTTAATAACGAACGGAAAATGTTAAGAATATTATATTAAATTAATAATAAATATTATATAATTTTTTTTTCTATAACTTCAACAGCGTTGATTTTAATAATTTGTTTATTAAAACACATTTTAATTATATGTGCTACTTAAGCACCCAGTATCTACTAGTGTAATAATTTAATATACTTGAATCAAACAGACAAGAAAGTGTAATAAGTTTCTCTCAGCTGTGATAAATTACCGTAGCTTTACTTGAGAAACCGCTACGTCAGCAATTTAATCCGTTTGTCGCGAATCTTGGAACAAAACATCTTAATATCAGGCGTACTGTTGTTGTAATTGTACAACAATTAATACACA